CCATCTCTTCACAGCTGCAGAGGAACTCAGCTACCGCCAGCAATTAGATTTAGGTATGATTTTGTTGGTTGTTTTGGGGTGAAAATTTAAAAAAAATAATTGAACTTATCAAGTGGAAACTCACACCCACCAGCCGAAAAACACCTTGTTGAAGATGCACAAACCGGATCACAATGAAAGGATGCAGTTGCCTAGTAAATGGCTGTCGCTGAGCTGAACAGGAATTCAGTTGTTCACTGCAAGAGGAGTAGGTCTAATAGTTTAGGAAACATTGTCTTGTACTCTGTAAGAAACAGCCGAATAACTAGACAGCATATTTGGTTTTGTAGCATTTAAAATGCCAGAAAAAGCTAGTCTCAAGAATCTATAGGCCTGAAATATTAATGTAAGTTACACAGGGCTGAATTTAGAGAGAATTAGTGTTTGTTGAGAAAGTGAACAAACTCCTTGAACCTGTATCTAGCTCAACAAGACAGAGCTTTTAATTCTTTTTAACTGGGTATCATACACGTAATTTAAAAGTTCTGGTTTAATTTAGTGTTCAGTATGCCCCTGTTAGAATACCTGAGCTTGAAGTAGGTTTTCACTGTTCTTTGAAAAGTTATTCTCCACAGCGAGTTTCAGATGTCTATTACATTTCAGTGTATCTGGCACAGAAAATACGTACCAAGGTGAAGCGTATTTTGGACTGAAAATTCATATATGGCAAAGCAGAATGCCAGTAAAGCTCAGTATGAAGTACAACAGGTGTATTTAGCATGTAAGAGTGGAATACGCATGTTTAATATTTTTTAAAAAATACTTTATAATGTTTCTATAAATTCAGTCTTACTGAAATTGCTATGGAAATTCATGTAAGAATTTCTATCCCATAAAGTTAATCTGTTTTAAGTACACAAAGTGCTCTGAACATAGAAGACAGGCTTAAGATGCTTCATTTTTACATGATAACAGAGTACAGCATAGATGTGCAAATGGCAGCGAGGGTGGCTGTACCCTACATGTCACATGTAAAAATATATATAATTTTTGTTACCTATGCTTTTTCAAAAAACTCAAAGGATAAATCTGCATATAGATATATAAAAGTGATTCAATTGCTTAATGCTACTCAACTGCACTCTCATTTAGTAGCCTACCACACTAGGCAGTTCTGAGGTAAGAGTTAAAAGTTATTTGAAAGGTACATTCCCTCATTCCAGAAAGAAAATATTGTGCTGTATCCTTATAAAGGTATCAAAAACTATACTGGTCTTATAAAAATAGGGACCTGCCATCTGCAGAAAGCATGATTCAAATGGTATTTGTTTATCACTGAGCCAGCTAAAAACGACAACTATAAAATAACCCTCTTAGCCCGTTCCCTGCATAACTCCGGATGACAAAGCAGACCACATTCGTCAGGGCAAGATTTCCAGCAGCACCCAAAGACGCAGACAAGGCTTGTAATTCCAGCAAAGCTCTTCCACGTTACAAACATGAGGATACCGTTTCCTTTGCAGTTATCCACGTAATAAAATAAGTAGAAATCTACTTAATTCACTATGGCACTTCTGTATTTATAAAAGTTTAAACTATTCAGACAGTCTTTTTAAAATGTTCTTCCAGTAAAAAAAGAAATCCTAGTGAGAAGTTATTTTATTTAGCAAAGGAATAGAAATGAAAAATGCGTTAAGGATTTCCTTAACAGAACTTTTGTCTAAATCTTTCTGCACATTTACAGTGCTATATAAACCTAAACACAAAATTACACTCTGTAGTCAAAGCCAAAGATCTGGCCTTTGAAAAATTAAAAAAAAAAAAAAAGGAATGCAGATGACATATTTGCAGTTGAATTCATTTGGTGACCTTTAGATCTTGTTCCAGATCTGAAACAAGTTCTTTGCTACCTGTTAACATACATCCCATATTACACTATGGTGGCCATATCCGCTTACTTAGCTGTCCGCCCCGGCGCAGACAAGCAACTCACATAGCTGGTCACAGACACTCCTGCCCACTATGTTATCTGAACGGTGATTAACTTGAGAGCTACGGGGAGGGGGAATGGCTCAAGCTTTTTATTTTATTCCTCTTTTTGAGATCACAACTGAATTCCTAGTATCTAAAAGTTTAATTAAATCTGTAAGTACTTTTATAATACTTGCATTTTCTTTCTTACTACCAGCACTCACTTCGTAAGTTTTAATATTCTCAAATCCCATTCAACTTCAGCATAAATCATTCCATTCAGGACTGCAATAGCACATGTTAATTCTGTAGATATATACACTACCAAAAAAAAAAAGAATGTCTATATGTATGTCTATCTTAATATATATTATACACACACATCTATTTTAATCTTGCATTAGTGTATTCCAAGCTTAACCCACTGATACTCCTAAAGAGGCAGGTTCAGATGTCTCAAAACTGAAGTGCTCTAAAACAACTATCAGAATGACCTCAGGTACTATGGTGGTTGCCAATAAATGTTTCCGAGTAGGAAAGTGAAATACAGACAAGGAAAAAGGACAGCAATTAATAAAATCATTGAGCAATGTTCATCTTCAATATGGATTTTTCACGTGGAGACTTTACTCATTTTTGTATTGTAAAAAAGGAATAAAAAGACATGAGTGACTGTCTAAACAGAGTCAATGGCAGACTCAAAGAAAAAAAAATTTAGTTGTTCCTAACTTTCAGCTTTGTGCCTAAATACTGAAACAACTACAGAGTAACTTCCTCTTGGAATTATTCTAGGAGCAAAGGAATCTCTACCTGTAACCAGGAAGAATATCAGACCTTCAGGGCCAAACCCCAAAATCCAATATCTTCTTGCAGACTCTCAGGGCCAATATTGAGTATTTCTGAGAGCTTGGGTTCTTGCCTGTTATTCACAACCAGGAACCTGGGCTAAAAGCTGCGATTATTACCGATTACAATACCTAACAAAAAGAAATTCACATGTTTTTTGAGGAACTGAAGCTATACAAATATGTTTTTCAAGTGTAAAAAAAGCTACTCACATCCAACATATAGTCTGCTAAATAGTATCCCATTTATATGAAGCATGCAACCGCTTTCACTTGAAGACACAGATAGGTTTGATAAAGATTAAGATATGTGAATTAAAGTTAAGCCTAAACATTTTAGATCTACCGCAAAAGCAAATGCTAATTCCTAGTTTACTACCAAATATACTCTTCCAAACTTTGGATGTACATATAAAACTTAAAGCTACAGATTACTACATTAAGCACTTAGTGTAACGTTCAAATAAACAAACTAGAAATTCCTGTTCAGCTCTACAACCAAAGCACGGTTACCAACTGCAAAACAGAGTTTCAGGAAGACTTTGACTAGAAAAGTTTTAGAGAATTCTTCTTCTAGTAAATACTTATTGCAATAGACTCGGAAACAAGATTCTGCATCGAAGTGCTACACCGTGAGATCTCAATTCCCTGTACGCAGCTTGATCTAACTGGGAACTACACTACGAAAATCCCAGCTCACTCCTTATCCATTTCACCTCTCCTACACCATCTTAAAGTGATCATTCACAAAAACCATGGAAGACAGTGTTTGGGTATCTATAATAAGGGCAGCAGAGTCTGTTTATAGCTGTTTGCAACCATATCTGCATAATAATTTTGCTCAGACTCAGAAAACTGAAGTGTTTTTGTCAGCACCAGTCCTCCCTGCTTTCCCAGTTCTCCCCCCCAACAGCACAAAACTGGGATAGTTCCAAGACTGTTACACTGGCCACAAATTTAAAGTCTTTCTGGCAAGAGAACTGACTTCTCAGTTAACATTAAACCCCTAAAGTATGGAATCTGCAACCTAAAAGAAAGTTACAATGCTTTCCAAAAAGGAAACCAGAAAGAAAATGAGAAGTGGCAGGCAAATTAACCCAAAATCTATTAGTTGCTTGCATTTCTTATTATCAACTTCCACCTTTCCAAAACTCTTTAGATTTCAGATAGAAGCAAAACCACCACCACAAATAATGAAAACAGAACTGAAATTCCAAATGCTGGTGTCAGCTACTGACACCAGATCTCAGCTGATTCACCCCCAGCCCACACAAGACTTCAGTTTCTTTACAGTATGTATAGGGTGCATGACGCTCGTTAAAACTACCACAGCCAAAAGAATTAAAGGAACTGTAGGTGGGGGGAAAAAGGGTATATGGAATATCCCATCCTCTGTAGCACAAAGATGATCCTAGTAGGCTGATAATTTATCAGGCCATCTTAACATGTTTGAATTAGCAAACTCCTAATTGCTTTTCAGCAATTGCCAAATGCTTTAGGCAACACCATAATTAAGAAACACTATTATAACATGCCATGTTGAATGAGAGAGGAAGAGAAAACTTTCAGTAGATCTAGTACACCAAAAACTGATAAAAGTGTCTAGAATATATGACTTAATACTCTTTAAATATCAGAAGTCATGAGGAGTTAAAATTTCTTTCGTATTTCAAAGACATCAACAGAATCAAATCAAAGCTTCACAGCACACGAAACTCCTTAAATTGCACAAATGAACTATGCCATTTTGTTGTCTGGTGTAGGGGCAAGGG